GGGAACGCGGGGTCAGGCCCCAGGGCTGCCCTGCCCGGCTGGCTGCAGGCGGCTCCCCAGCCGGCTGCATGGGAACAGCCAAAATCCGGGGATTTTCACCCCTGTTTATAGGGAAAAGGAAAATAAATGCCCCAAATCTGGGTGCAACTGGCCCCCCAGGCTGATTTGGGGGCGTGGGGGTGACGGTGGGGGAAAGCGCAAGTGCCCTATTTGGGCCTTATTCCCAAGTGAAGGATCAGACAGACGGACGGACGGCCCCTCCGCCACGTCCCATGGTCCTGCCTCCAGCCGGCACGGCCGCCAAGGTGTGCCAAGCCGCGCCAGCCAGCTTCAGCGCCGAGCAGTTAATCCCTCCAGTGAAAGCTTAAAAAAAAAAAAAAAAATATTTATTCTGCATGGAAAAGGCCCTCAGCTGAGCTGTTTTTCCTAGTCTAAATTAGGTGAAATGTCACTGTTTTGCAAGAGGCAAAAATTGCAAAAGAAAAAAAAAAAAAACACCACAACAAAATGTTTGGAGGCAATGAGGCCAAACACGTGAAAATCGACATTTTAGATTTTTATCTTTTTTTTTTTTTTTTTTAAACCAAAAAGCCATTTTGGATGGGGAGCGCAAAGGCGCTGCGGCCCCAATGGCAGCACAGATCCCCCCTGCAATGCGGTGGTGTGGCTTTTGCCACCGAGGAGGGACGCCGGAGCCCTGGAGCGCAGCCACAAACCCCTGCAGCAGGTGGGCCAGAAAGAGGGACCCCTCAAATATGCACCCCGAACGCTCCCCTCCTTGCTCTGTGCCCTGCCTAGGACTTGCTTCTTATCAAGGGGATTTTTTAATTACTCTTATTTGTGTAGGTATTTTTTGCAAATAAAGGTATAGCAAGATGGCACATCTGCAGCCTTTTTGAGGGTTTTTATTTGCTTTTTCACTTGTTCAGTGTACAAACAGTAACAGAAAGCTTTCTGCTGCATGCCCCGAGGAGATGCAGGGCTGTCGCGGACGTGCTGCGGCCCTGCCTGCATCGGCAGAGGTGCAGGCAGCGCAGCCAAGGGCAGCTCAGCCACCTGACGGCGCGAAGCACCCAGTGATGCCGTCGGCACCCTGCACCCCGCCAGCACCGGGGATCTCCCCTTCCCGGGGTGATGCCAAGACGTGACCCAGCTCTCCAGCTCCTGCCACGAGCCACCGCTGCGGGTCCCCACCACAAATCACCCCCCAACCACATTTCACTGGGCTAAGTCAAGTTCAAACGAGAGCTTGACCTAAATCTCCCCCCCCCCCAAACTGGTCTGGATCCCATGACAGCGACCTCGCTGACGTCTCCCAGAGAATTAAAAAAAACCCCTTCCCAGGATGGAGAGCGAGGAGGACGGGGTGCAGGCAGGTCGCCCTGCTGCGGGCAGATGCCTTCCTCCATAACTGGCATGGCAGCACTGGGTTTCGGAGGCAGGGATCGCAGCAGCGGGTCCGGCCGGCAGCAACGGCATGCAGAGCCCTCCTGCTGGCACCTGGCGTGGCTTGCCCACCTGAGAGCACGGAAGGACAGGCAGCTGCCAGATTTGCAGGCCTCGGGCTGAAAAACGCTGGCCACGTACCTCCATCTCCAGAAAACAAGGGCTAGTGGCTACACCGGGCTCAGAAAAAGCTGGAGACCACGATGGGATTTATCCCAGCCCCACGGAGAGCCTTTGGGGTCATGGTCAGGAGCAGCCGCAGATGCTGAGCCCCATGCCTGCCCCACAGCAAGGCTCGGGGCAAATGGGTGCATCTCCTCCCACGGCCCTGTTTACAGAGCTGGGGCGTGGGCAGGTGTCCTCCATGGGGGCAGCAGCCCTGCTGATTGCTCTCGTTAATGAGATTACAGGTAATTAGGGTCGATTTGGTGCCAGCGTGGTCTGGAGGAGGGGGCTGGGGTCTGCTCTGCACCCTGTTACAACGTCCCTGGCAGGCGGCTCAGCGTGTGTGTGTCCCCCCCCCGCCGGCACGGGGACAGCCACGGCCATGTGGCCGGCAGCAATAGGGCAGCACCCTGGGGTGCAGGGGGGCTGAGGGGGGGCTGAGCATCCTGGGATGGCCACAGGGAGCATCCCGGGGTGCCAGGATGCAGCAAGCATCCTGGGAGGGCCATGGGGACCATCCCGGGATGACCACTGGGAGCACCCAGGAGGGTTGCAGGGAGCATCCTGGGATGACCATGGGGAGCATCCCAGGTTGGCTGCAGTGAGCACCTTAGGATGCTGGGATGCAGTGAACATCCCAGGATCCCATGGCAAGAATCTTGGTACAGCCACCCTGAGCATCTCGGGATGGCTGTGGCGAGCATCCCAGGATGACCATGGGGAGCATCCCAAGATTGCTGCAGTGAGCATCCCGGGATGCGGGAACTGAGCATCTTGGGATGCGGGATGCAGTGGACATCCTGGGATGCCATGGCAAGAAACTTGGCGCAGCTGCACTGAGCATCCCGAGATGGCTGCAGTGAGCATCCTGGGATGCCAGAGCATCCCGGCATGCCGTGGCAAGCATCTTGGCACAGCCGCACTGAGCATCCCACCTCCAAAGGAGGCTGCTGCTCTTTTGCGGGGGGGAGCAATTAAATAAGGTGACCCCCCAGCAAACGCCCAACCGGAAAGAAAAACCCCATTTCTTTGCTGATTTTATTCATTTCTTTATTAAAGCCTGATACAGAGGTGGGTGGGGAAGGGAAGAAAAAAACCCCAAAGCTCGCAATGTTGTTTATTTCGGACACAGAATTAATAAAACTAAACCAACCCAAACAGGAGGCAGCGCAGCCCCGGGCACGGCTGCCCCCCTCCGTCGTCTCCCCCGTTGATTTTGGGGTGCCCCCCACTCCGATTTATGTAAAAAGGAGCAAATTGGCAGCCTGATCGGATGCGCTGTGCCCCGGCTGGATCCGGCCCTTGGGTCTGAGCAGGGCAGAACCAGCCCTGGCAGAGGCAGGGGGATGCTCGGCCAGTTTGGGAGCAATCCCGGTGGAAACGGGGCAAGACGCGGTCAGCAAGCAAAGGAAAAATCAAGGGAAAACTACACGGATTTAACTGAAACGCTAAAAAAATAGAGAGGAATGATACTAACGCTAATTCATCAGTTAAACGATGCTGCTGGGCTGGTCCATAGAGTTTAGGCCCTGACCAGGATCCTTTAAAATAAGCCTTTCTAGAAAATTGTAAATCTTTATATAGGTTCTTTCTCGTATATACACACACACGCACACGGCCCCCGCCGCGGGCGGGAGCACAATCAGCCTTTAGAAATAAATTACAAACTCCCCCAATCGCTAGCATCAAATATACAGATCACTTCTTGCAGCTGCTTTTTTTTTTTTTTTTTTCTCATTTTTTTCTTGTTTAAGGTGCTTTTTGGCTCTTTTTTGGGATTTTTCTTTGGTTCTGAGCGAATCCTACCTGCAGAAGCGTTGGCATAATTTTTTTTTTTGGTGTTTTTAGCATGATTATCTTCATTGCAAATATATAAACCCCCTTGCTGGGCTATTTACATCCCGACCCCGGGAAATGCTGTGAGCGGCTGCGAGCGCTCGTTAGCTCTGAAAGTTCATCTGGGGAAGGGGGGCCGGGCAGGGGGGCTCAATGCACGGGGGAGGCAGCGGGGCC